GTTCTTTCTCTTTCGTTCTTTCGTCCGTTTGTTCGTTCTTTCTTTCTCTTTCATTCTTTCTTTTGTTCATTCCTTCTTTCTTTCATTCCTTTCTCTTTCATTCGTTCTTTCTCTCTTTCTCTCATTCATTCGTTCTTTCTTTCTTTTCTTCTTTCTTTCTCTTTCTCTCATTCATTCGTTCTTTCTCTCTTTCGTTCTTTCTTTCTCTTTTGTTCTTTCTTTCATCCGCTTGTTCAATCTTTCGTTCTTTCATTCTTTCTTTTGTTCATTCGTTCGTTCTTTCTCTCATTCATTTGTTCTTTCTTTCTTTCTCTCTTTCGTCCGTTTGTTCGTTCTTTCTTTCTCTTTCATTCTTTCTTTTGTTCATTCCTTCTTTCTTTCGTCCATTCTTTCTTTCTTTCTCTTTCATTCTTTCTTTCATTCCTTCTTTCTTTCTCTTTCGTTCTTTTTCTTTCGTCCATTTGTTCGTTCTTTCTTTCTTTTTCTCATTCATTCGTTCTTTCTGTCTCTCTCGTTCTTTTGTTCATTCGTTCTTTCTCTCATTCATTCGTTCTTTCTCTTTCGTTCATTCTTTCTTTCTTTCTTTTTCTCTTTCTCTCGTTCATTTGTTCTTTCTTTCGTTCGTTTGTTGAATTCTATTTCAAATAAATGCTGTTCTTTTGTACTTTCTATCACATTTCCACAAATATTGTTTTCAGCCTTGATAACAATAAGAATTGGTTCTTGAGCAGCAAATCAGCATATTAGAATGATTGGTAAAGGATGTGAAAATTCAGGAATAAATTATATTTTAAAATATTAAAATAGAAAACAATTATATTACATTTCACAGTATTACTGTTTTACTCCATTTTTGATCAGATAGTTTAAATTAATACTAGTGTATATCTGCACTTAACGTCAGAATCTTTGATCAGTAATGGGCTATTACCCGGTTTAATGTGAATCGTCTTGTTCTGTGATAGGTCAGTGATCGTGGAGGCGGAGTCCCGCTGAGGAAGATTGACAGGTTGTTTACGTACACATACTCCACTGCCCCTCGTCCTCAGATGGACACGTCTCGAGCCACTCCTCTGGTCAGTGTGTAACCTCTCTGAAATCTGACATACTGTCTGCATCTCAGGGTCCCACTTTAATTTTTTTAATGGTTAGAAACTGAAGAGTTGAAATAGCTGTGGCTTAGTGATTGGCTTACATGCTCAGACAAATGGATGACAAATAGTGGTTAAACGGATCGTAGTTGATCCGTGATTCGTACGGACCAAGCCCCAAGGTTCGGCACGCATGTGAACCGCGGATTAATTGCAAAATTTTGTTCGTTCTTTCTTTCTCTTTCATTCTTTCTTTTGTTCATTCCTTTCTTTCTTTCGTCCGTTTGTTCGTTCTTTCTTTCTCTTTCATTCTTTCTTTTGTTCATTCCTTCTTTCTTTCGTCCATTCTTTCTTTCTTTCTCTTTCATTCTTTCTTTTGTTCATTCCTTCTTTCTTTCGTCCATTCTTTCTTTCTTTCTCTTTCATTCTTTCTTTCATTCCTTCTTTCTTTCTCTTTCGTTCTTTTTCTTTCGTCCATTTGTTCGTTCTTTCTTTCTTTTTCTCATTCATTCGTTCTTTCTGTCTCTCTCGTTCTTTTGTTCATTCGTTCTTTCTCTCATTCATTCGTTCTTTCTCTTTCGTTCATTCTTTCTTTCTTTCTTTTTCTCTTTCTCTCGTTCATTTGTTCTTTCTTTCGTTCGTTTGTTGAATTCTATTTCAAATAAATGCTGTTCTTTTGTACTTTCTATCACATTTCCACAAATATTGTTTTCAGCCTTGATAACAATAAGAATTGGTTCTTGAGCAGCAAATCAGCATATTAGAATGATTGGTAAAGGATGTGAAAATTCAGGAATAAATTATATTTTAAAATATTAAACTAGAAAACAATTATATTACATTTCGCAGTATTACTGTTTTTACTGCATTTTTGATCAGATAGTTTAAATTAATACTAGTGTATATCTGCACTTAACGTCAGAATCTTTGATCAGTAATGGGCTATTACCCGGTTTAATGTGAATCGTCTTGTTCTGTGATAGGTCAGTGATCGTGGAGGCGGAGTCCCGCTGAGGAAGATTGACAGGTTGTTTACGTACACATACTCCACTGCCCCTCGTCCTCAGATGGACACGTCTCGAGCCACTCCTCTGGTCAGTGTGTAACCTCTCTGAAATCTGACATACTGTCTGCATCTCAGGGTCCCACTTTAATTTTTTTAATGGTTAGAAACTGAAGAGTTGAAATAGCTGTGGCTTAGTGATTGGCTTACATGCTCAGACAAATGGATGACAAATAGTGGTTAAACGGATCGTAGTTGATCCGTGATTCGTACGGACCAAGCCCCAAGGTTCGGCACGCATGTGAACCGCGGATTAATTGCAAAATTTAACCATAATAGAATGAAAGTTTATCAATTGTACGTGTTTACACACGCAAGCGATTTTAAACCATTCTAGCGAAAGAAAAGGCAAAATGGAACTCGATTTGTTTTCTATCACAGCCACACAAACATGAAGCTTGCACATGCAGAGAGGCACGTTTGACTGCGCGCGGACACCACACTGAACCATCTTTCCTATCTCATTCACTATTTGCCTTTGAACTAGTCTTGCGTAAAAAAAAAAAAACAATCTTACTGACCTCAAACTTTTGAATGATGGTATAATAATAATAATAATGTATTTTTATTTATTTTTTTATCATCCCTGAAGGCTTTGTCCACCGAGTCTATCGAGAGGCTTCCCGTTTACAACAAATCTGCCTGGAAACATTATAAAACCATCCACGAAGCCGATGACTGGTGTGTTCCCAGCAAAGAACCCAAGGACATGACCACCTTCCGCAGCTTCTAGTCTTCAGCAGACCAAATAAAGCGTCTTACCTTCATCTGTCCGCCCCTGTGTAGATCAGGATAGAGGAACAAAAGAGACCCGGGCTCAAAGGAATATATAAAAGAGCATGCTGAAACACTACATGTTTCTAGTATGTTCTAATGAAAAGGTACCAGATGTTACCAGTGTTATAAGTTCGCACAGGTGTTGCTAGTGCCATCACATCCCCAGACAGACAATTTAGGTTGTTGTCCTTCTGCTGTATTATTTTTGAGTGTGATCCAGTATGTGTTTAATGACCTATTAATCTTACATTTGGATGTGTAAGCCAGTATATATTTATTTGTCTGTCATCACGAGACAGACTAAAGTGTTGATCATTTTTGCTTTAAACGTACATGTTGTGATTTGGGAAATCAAGCTTGTGTGTCACACAGCTGTGGGCTATAATATATACACCAGCATAACTGGTGTACACTCCGTGTGCAGTCCCATTTTGTTTTCAGTTTTTTTTTTTTTTTTAAGTGAGAATGTAGTGTGAAGAGTTTGAAAGTGTTAAACGCTTCTCACCATTAGAAAATGTTCAGCTTCAACTTAGTAATGAACAATTCCCGCACTTAAATGACAAAAAAAAAAAGAAACCAACGCATGTACGTGTGTGAACTGTCTGCTTCTTTAAACCAGTTTGAAACCGTTCAAGTGTTTAGCAGTTTGAAACTCATCCGGTTTCAACAGCAGTCCTCTACTGGACACAGACTGTGACTGCAGACTCAGTCATTGCGCTTTTCTGCATGTGCTTTGACTTATTTTCTTGAGTCATTTGTGCAATTATTAGTGTTTTTGTGATTTTTAGAGGATGTGTGAAGTCAGTTCACACAGGTTTCCTACCAGAGTAACCAAAGATACATCTCTATTACGTACATTTACAGCCCCACGAAGTATCAAAATGCAATTTTTTTTTTTTTTTTTTTTTTTTTAAAAGAGTTTTTCTATTATTTGAGGTTTTTGGGGAGTAGGATTTGTTTTCCAGTGCAGTGGCACTCAAACTTTAGTGTACAGTAGTGATGGGAGAAAAGAACCACTTTGAATCGAATTCGCGAAATGATTCGAAGCGCTCTAAACAACACGCTGGTGACGCAGGCTGCTCAGAACTGTCTAAATGCACCAAAAAACTTAAGCCAGACACATATCAAAACCATAGACTGTATAGAAACATGGATGTAGTGTCCGTGACGTCACCCGTAGGTTTCCGAAGAGCGTTTTTGAAGCTCAAAAGTGGGCGGAGCTGGCCGTCGCCATCTTGGTAGTGCGTCACTCCCGGATAATCGAAGATGGGTAAAGAGGCGGGAGCTGGTTGTTGAAACCACGCCCACCTAGCTCGACGGAGGTGACCGCAGCGGCAATCCACCTGTCACTCAAGTGGCCACGCCCTTAATTATGCAGAACTTTAAGGCTTAATATAATTTAAACGGATGAGTTATAAAAAAATTCACCCCCCTCACAGTTGTCATGAAGGGCAAAATTAGCTATATAGACCAAAATCTTTTTTTGAACCAGGCTGTAAACGTTTTTTTTCTGCTGTAAAGTTGGGCCTATAAAGTCTATGGGATTGACTCACTTTTGCAGCCTGCCTCTAGCGGCCAGTTGATGAATTACAGTTTAAGTCACTTCCGTGTTGGCTTCACAAGAGCGAGCGGGAGGTTGTCGCTTGATCAAAACCCACAGCAAATGTTTTATTTTAAATATAATCTACTAAATGCAAATAAGAAAATCAAATACCAATAAATATGAAGTTTCTGCATGTGTTCTTTTATTCATTTGCAGGGCTTGGCTATAAGAGGCCATTAACTACTAATCTTTCTTTTATACAAATGTCATTGAAAATATCGGCAAATCCGAGATCAGGTTAAATAAAACGCATAAAAACGTTCACACAGATGACGCAACGTAGGTTCATCTCCTGAAATAACGTGACTTCGGCAGACTCACGGGCTTGAAGCAAATGATTCGCAAAGGTTTCGAAGCTTCAACGAAGCAGTGCTTCGAAAGCGCCCATCACTAGTGTACAGATCTGAATCTTCTGCTTTTTAATAGCTAACTGAGCAGTGACCGAACAGACTTTCTCCACGTTTACGGTTTAAAATCAGTTCTGCTGTGAAGGGAACTTGAAAACACACCGTTTCTTTTCTTTTACAAGAGGTGAAAGCATTTATTTGTACCAGATAGAAAGCTTGATTTTTGTCTGTTCAAAATCATCTATTTCACAAGGTAGAAAAATATAACCACAGAATCACGATGACATGAGCACAGGTGGCGTCTCTTTGAAAACGACGCTTACAATCAGTTGATAATCAGTATTTCAAATTCATTACACCCTCTGTTACAATTTGGGCCATGGCCACTAATAAAACTACGCTGCTTTCTGTAACAATTGTGTATTTTTTTAACCATATCCATAATATAACAGCAGTAACCGTCCAAATAAAAACAACAAACGTGATGTACAAACACCTTTCGCTTTGAGTTTCACTGCTTTTCAGAATTAGCAAAATGGTTTTGCCCAACAAGCTATTCTACTTAGTAGAAAATGTGTACAAAAGTTAATGTCTCTTCCGTAAAGCTATGCTAATAGTGGTGTATTAAATATCTCATTTGTACATTTATAAACCATGTTCCCCTTTGTTTCAGTAAAAATATAGTGCTCAATATCACTCGACTGTACAAGGATCCAAAAAATGACTAAGAAATCTTTTTAAAAGCACTATTCGTGCCACAATATTAGCGGCAAAGTTGGCATCTAAATATTTATATATCCCTTACCAAGATTGTTTTTTAATAGCCCCTACAGCGGTATCATAAAATACAATTAAAACTAATAAAAGTTTTGGTCTGCTATAAATTGGACAGCCATATTAATTTTCTTACAAGCTAGTCTAAAAGAAAAAAAAAAATCTCTTATTACTCGGAACACTGCAAAGATATTTTTCTTAATCAGTATTTTGTCTTGTTTTCCAGTAAAAACGTCCTTAAGACACAATTACTTGAGAAGCAGAGATATAGATTTGTTTTAGAGGACGGGTCTTGAGTTAAACGCAATTTCTTCTTCTTGGGAATTTAAGCTTGTGGCAAAAACAACAACAAAAATAAACATTTAATACAATTTTGTACATTCTCCGATCTGTCTGAATCTGTAAGTCACCTCTTGTTATGCAAGTAGATTTATCTTGTTTTAGGGATGTGGAGATATTTGACTGAAAATAAAGACAAAATACTGATTAAAAAAAAAAACATTTGCTTTTCTTTTTACAGCACCCTGTAAACACTTTTCTAAGTAAATGCACTACCTGTAGATGCACATTCTGCTCATATTTGTGCTGCACAGACTGAACTGAAGAGAGTAAACTGTGGTCTTGTAAGCAGCTTCATTAGTGTTTCAGGATGACTGCCTATTACTGACTGAATGCATTCATAGCGACTCCTCTAGAACGGCTCATGCGTGTCGGAGGAACTGCCTCTGGAGTGTGTGGAGAATTAAAGTGAAAAGATGAAGAAACCGTGATGCTCTGAACATCATCAGCACACGGAGTCAGTGCTGGCAGGCAGCCGTCCGCTGCGTCTGGCCTCTTTCTCCCGCTTCTCCCGCTGTTTCTCCATCTTCTCCTGGGCTTTCTTCATCTCCTTCAGTTTCTTCTTGATTGTGGCTCGGTCATTCTGACTGGAAACACCCAGAGCCTGTGGAGAGCATTTCAATTCACAAGTAATCACAAGCAAAATACAATTAAGCGACATCTTAAATGTTACAGTGAGATGCATTTTCTGAAATTTGTGCTTGCAGTTTAGCTTCGGCACGGAATGAGAGGGATGGCCGAATCATTCATAAACCGTTCTCCTGAGCCATATCTTCATTCTCACAAGGCATTTTTTATTTTCACGCTGGTGTAACAAATCAGTCTGGATCAGCGGAGGAACTTATGTTTGAATTATTGTAATTGGTAAAAATAAACACGTCATTAAATATCATTCTTAATAAGCGTGGGTGATACACTGTTTGAAACCAAGTAGTAGAAATGTGTTAATCTGTATACATTTTTTATTGCAGTTTATTTAGACTGAAATATGAAAAAAAAATCTAAATGTATAATTTTGGATAGGTCTACCATTATTTTGTAATTATCCTAAGGATCATTACGTTTTCAGTACTTTATAATAACGTTTCCATAAAATGTGTGTATTTTGTTATCAGTATAACTGATTACTACTTTTTACTTTTAGATTTATAATGTTTTTAAATCTCATAATCAGACTACAATTACTTTTTTTAAATACATGATTGCATATTATTCACACAATAGCAGTAAAATTGATCAATTCTTCTTAAATCATCATTTTTCAAAAAAAGGCTATAGCCTATATACGTTAGGAAAGTTTGTAATTTGGTGCATTAAACATTTTTTAGAATATAAAAAAATCATAAAAATAATGTCATCCCGATGCTCCGTGCAAGTTTCTATGGAAGCCCGTTTCCGCCACTGAATAAAAAATAAAAAATAAAAATGGTTATTGTGACTTTTTTTCTCAGAAGTGTGATATAAACTCACAATTGTGAGTTATAAAGTCATAATTGCGAGAAAAAAAGTCAGAATTGCGAGTTATAGTCAGAATTGCGAGAAAAAAAAAGTCAGAATTGAGAGAAAAAAAAAGTCAGAATTGCGAGAAAAAAAAGTCAGAATTGCGAGAAAAAAAAGTCAGAATTGCGAGTTATAAAGTCAGAATTGCGAGTTATAAAGTCAGAATTGCGAGAAAAAAAGTCAGAATTGCGCGAGAAAAAAAAAAGTCAGAATTGCGAGTTATAAAGTCAGAATTGCAAGAAAAAAAGTCAGAATTGCGAGAGAAAAAAAAAGTCAGAATTGCGAGTTATAAAGTCAGAAATGCAAGGGAAAAAAAAGTCAGAATTGTGAGAAAAAAAGTCAGAATTGCGAGTTATAAAGTCAGAATTGCAAGTTATAAAGTCAGAATTGCAAGTTATAAAGTCAGAATTGCAAGTTATAAAGTCAGAATTGCAAGTTATAAAGTCAGAATTGCAAGTTATAAAGTCAGAATTGCAAGTTATAAAGTCAGAATTGCAAGTTATAAAGTCAGAATTGCAAGTTATAAAGTCAGAATTGCAAGTTATAAAGTCAGAATTGCAAGTTATAAAGTCAGAATTGCAAGTTATAAAGTCAGAATTGCAAGTTATAAAGTCAGAATTGCAAGTTATAAAGTCAGAATTGCAAGTTATAAAGTCAGAATTGCAAGTTATAAAGTCAGAATTGCAAGTTATAAAGTCAGAATTGCAAGTTATAAAGTCAGAATTGCAAGTTATAAAGTCAGAATTGCAAGTTATAAAGTCAGAATTGCAAGTTATAAAGTCAGAATTGCAAGTTATAAAGTCAGAATTGCAAGTTATAAAGTCAGAATTGCAAGTTATAAAGTCAGAATTGCAAGTTATAAAGTCAGAATTGCAAGTTATAAAGTCAGAATTGCAAGTTATAAAGTCAGAATTGCAAGTTATAAAGTCAGAATTGCAAGTTATAAAGTCAGAATTGCAAGTTATAAAGTCAGAATTGCAAGTTATAAAGTCAGAATTGCAAGTTATAAAGTCAGAATTGCAAGTTATAAAGTCAGAATTGCAAGTTATAAAGTCAGAATTGCAAGTTATAAAGTCAGAATTGCAAGTTATAAAGTCAGAATTGCAAGTTATAAAGTCAGAATTGCAAGTTATAAAGTCAGAATTGCAAGTTATAAAGTCAGAATTGCAAGTTATAAAGTCAGAATTGCAAGTTATAAAGTCAGAATTGCAAGTTATAAAGTCAGAATTGCAAGTTATAAAGTCAGAATTGCAAGTTATAAAGTCAGAATTGCAAGTTATAAAGTCAGAATTGCAAGTTATAAAGTCAGAATTGCAAGAAAAAAAGTCAGAATGGCGAGTTATAAAGTCAGAATTGCGAGAAAAAAAAAGTCAGAATTGTGAGATAAAAAGTCGCAATAACCATTTTTATTAATTTTTTACTCAGTGACGGAAACGGGCTTCCATAAGTTTCAAGATATATATATATATTTTTTATCCCACAGCTTTATTCATAGAATCATATCCATCTTTTAAAAAAAGCCACTGTAATGTCCAAGTATTCAAAATGAGCCAAAATAAAGATATTTCTAATCACAATACAAACACATGCATTTAATACTGCCGCACTAATGCCCAGTTGATGTCAGTTCTCTTCAAAATATATCCTTCTATGAGAGCACAGACCGCTCACCTTGAGTCTGTCACTGTCCAGGTTGAGGAGCTGCTGTCCATCGATGGCCTGTGTGCTGAACTCAGGTGTGTACTGATCCATGTTCATACCCATCAGCCAGTGACACACCTGCTGGGACGTCCAATCAGAGACGGGACGGTTCTGCCAATGATACTCCTTCCCTCCAGAACAAGGCTCCTCATCCAGCATCTAATACACACACATATCAGCCAGGTGAATCTCATGCTCCTAGAAACTTAGTACATATTAATACCATGGTACTTTTTGATTACTGTAGAATATAATGAAAGGTGAATGCATGAATTCTGTGCGCAGAACTTGTGAATGTTATCTAACACAACATCATGCATGCATCTGATCCTCACGGTCATGCAAAAGCAAACACTACTGAGAGCAGCCACATGAAAACAAACGGGGAACGGCATCAGCACACACACGCAGTGCTTCAAGCTAAAAATAACACAGGAACTACACGAGCGAAGGGGCGGGAGGCACGAGACAATACTTGACCTTCCAGATGGTTACAGGAAACCCATGCAAACGAACGGCGGTGAGAGCGTCATGTCTGATCTGCACTCACCTCGCTGGAGGAGAAGGTTAATGTATGAGAGCGGCCTGACAGGTTGGGCTCCACCACCAGCCCAGAAAAATCTGAAGCAGGACTGCTGGGGTTCGAATCATCTAGCACTGACAAACTCTGGAAGGGGCACAGAGAGCGGGATTTGTTATCCAAACACAAAGATCGGGGGAGTTTCAGCGATTTACATCAAAAGAATGAGCATCGGGGAAAAGAACTTGGTGTTACAACATCAACAGTCCTACAAAATGACTAGAAATACTACTAGAAGTGTCAGACCGATACACTGACCAGACTGATCAATCAACAAACATCGAGGTCAAATCTACTGCAATCTGTTTATCAGAAATATTAATTATTTAAAGGGGTCATATGATGCGATTTCAAGTTTTCCTTTCTCTTTGGAGTGTTACAAGCTCTTGGTGCATAAAGAAGATCTGTAAAGTTGCAAAGACTAAAGTCTCAAATCCAAAGAGATATTCTTTATAAAAGATAAGAGTCAGCCACACCTACCTAAAACGGCTCGTTCTAACACACCCCCACATGTCTACCTCACTATGTGGGAAGATTTGCATAACGCCGCCCTTGTTGTTTGTCATTTCTCCGATCACAAATGCAGACATGGTTTCATGTTTACGAGGCGTGATGCAACGCAACGCGTAAAAAGACAGTATAAGTCATTATAATCAGTTATTAAGTCCCCACTGGATGCAACAAAAGGCTCGTTTGTAATGGGTTTTAATGTTTTTGTCTCGTCGCTCCGGCCTGACACGGCATCACAGTATGGTAAGGGGCGTAACATTTCCGTCACACGCTTGAGGTATTCGGCCAATCACAATGCACTGAATAGCTGGCCAATCACAGCACACCTCGCTTTTCAGACCGATGAGCTTTGTAAAAATCGACGCATTTCAGAAAGGCGGGGCATAGAGGAGAAACAATAATGTACAGTATGTGGAAAATAATGTTTTTTTTTTTTTTTACCTTAAACCGCATAAACACATTGCATTACACCAAATACACCAAATAATGTTCTTTTTAGCAACATCATATGACCCCTTTAAAGGTATTGACACTGGATATTGACACAGATTTCATGAATCAGTTTGATTCTGATTCACAAGCTCGATTCGATCTGATTTTGATCTCGATTCATTTGGTTATATGCAGTATCAGCTACAGTACATGTAAAGTTAAAGAAAAAAATCTCCCAACCAATGCTCAGTTGGTACATTACTATAATATTAAAGGTTAAAATGAACATGTCCAAACTATAAAATTCAATTGCTATTTATTTTTTGATATAATAATCAACACTCAAATAAGATTGAGCTGTTGAAATCGGTTCATCAACATGAAGATCAATTACAATTGTGTAATTAAAATTGTCAAGCCAACTTTATTAATATTGCATTATATTGGATATTTATAACTCATATCGGTCACCCACCACCTCCCTACAACTACTCTTTAGCTACAACTACAACAAGACAGATACACACACTAAACCCAACCCGATCTCACATGAATACGTAACTATTTTATGAGGTGGGGATTTCAGATGAATTTGTACGATGTAAAAAAAAAAAAATGTTTTTATGATTTTTAGTAAAAAAGTAAGCATGAAGGTCCACCCATAAACACAACCATCACTGGGGTGCAAGTAGATCGTACAAAAACATACGAATGAGATAACAGTTATGTAAAATAGTTATGAATTGCCATGAGACTGTGTTGACTAAACCAGATAAGCAGTGAAATGCATCTACATTGATTTGACAATAAAAGCCTGTATTTGAAATCTGAAATAAATTAAAAAAACATCACTTGAAGAAAAAGAGTAAATCAAATCAGCATCATGCATCTAGTGCACCGCATTCAACAAAACTAATGCGATTCTACAAATATTAAAACTCAACATATTAGGTTTGATATTTAGCTAGAGTTTCACTACATTGCTAGACGAAATCTGACATCTATGAGCATTCATAAGAGAAAATATACTGTACCAAATCTAAGGAGCGACTGAACAGAGAAGACCAGGAGAGGTTTGTCTGTTTGGGAAAAGAGGTTAATAATATGACAGCACTGTCTGAAAGCTTTACCAAACGCGCTTCAGCTGGAGCTGATGAAACCGAGAGGGCTCAAAGAGCTGCTGAATTCATTTTCTGACCCATGGACCGAGTCTGTTTGGCTCAAGCCTGATGAATGATCACATCCGTATGGCTGCAGGAACATTTCCACGCTACCTCCTCCTTAGCAACTCACAATTACAAACAAACTAAAGCAAGTCCAGCTGGATGGCAGATATTTCTTGTGTTTATTATTTAGTTTTGTCGTGTGCTTAGCAGAAAGCTGGTTTGTTCTCCCATTTGACTCACTTTAACCAGAAACTTCAGGATCAGTACGATTTTTTTTCTTATTTTTTAATCAATACTTTTATTCAGCAAGGATGCATTCAATTAATAAAAAGTGACAGGCAAGACTTTTACACTGTTAGCAAATAAATTCTATTTCAAATAAAGTTCTTTTGAACTTTTTTTTTTTTCCAAAGAAGAAACTGTTTGATAATAATCAGAAATGTTTCTTGAGCAGCAAATCAGCATATTATTATGATTTCTGAAGGATCGCGTGACACTGAAGACTGGAGGAATGATGCTGAAAATTCAGCTTTGATCACAGCAATAAATTATATTTTCAAATATATTACAATAGAAAACGGTTGTTTTAAATTGTAATAATATTTCACAATATTACTGTATTTTTTGTCAAATGAAATGGCAGCTTTATTGCAAAAACATTAAAAAAAGATCTTCTTGACCCCAAACTTTTGAACAAGTAGTGGGGACATTTTTAATGAATACAATATCATTTTGGTGTCTCTTGACTTTTTTTTTTTTTTTTTTTTTTTTTTTAAAGCCCATGTTTTTATTGTGAGAAGCATTAAAAATACACTGAACTATTATGTAACGTATGATTAATTTAGAATGAATACTATCTAGATTTAAGCACATCTAATGTCTTAATTTGATCACTTTTATTTGCTTTTTGTGCTTGTTTAATATTTATTCCTTGTTTAATGTTTATTCTCATATAATCACTTTTTGTACCCCATTTGTGACCCTGGAGCACAAAAGCAGTCATAAATCGCTGGGGTATATTTGTAGCAATAGCCAAAAATACATTGTATGGGTCAAAATTATTGATTTTGCTTTTATGCCAAAAATCATTAGGATATTAAGTAAAGATCATGTTCCATGAAGATATTTTGTAAATTTCCTACTGAAAATATATCAAAACTTAATTTTTGATTAGTAATATGCATTGCTAAGAACTTCATTTGAACATTTTTAAAGGCGATTTTCTCAGTATTTAGATTTTTTTGCACCCTCAGATTCCAGATTTTCAAATAGTTGTATCTCGGCCAAATATTGTCCTCCTGTCCTAACAAACCACACATCAATGGAAAGCTTATTTATTCCGCTTTCGAGAAATGTACTCTTATGACTGGTTTTGTGGTCCAGGGTCACATATGTGGAACGTGCCAAATATTCATATTATTTAGCCCTACAACTGCAAGGGTCAAGATTTCAATGACGATATAAATTACAAGATTTCACATTCCACATATTAAGATAACCATTTTATAAATAAAGTTGTAGTCATGCATACTCATGCATGGAAGTCAATTCGTGGTCATTATGTTTTGAAGATCTATAATAGTTCTGGACTAGTTTTAATCTGTGCAAGAGAAGCAATCCTGGAGCAGAAGTGCTCTGTGATAGAAGTAGTTGTCACCTTGTTTTTGGAGCTGTGGCTGTGTTCGCTGGCGTCTGCAGTGGTGTATGGGAGACTGCTGGAGGAGGACGACGGCTCTCTGTCACGGTCTTTCTCTCCAAACCAGGAGAAGGGCATGCAGGTGGGGATGGAGGTCATGGACTCTGAAGGGGAGACTCGGGCCCCTGACTCCTCCAGTAACTCCGCTGAACCCCTACAACACAACACATTGAGACATGAGGAGAGGAAATACAAGCTCAGCGTACTGGAAGCAACGAGAAATGCATTCTAATGGCAACTTGTTTATGTTTGTTTAGCCGGTTTTGCACAAACCAATAGATAAATGTTGAAAAAGTACACACATGAAAAGATTTTGGAAAACCGCTTTCACACTGACAACTAATGTCAAACGGATTTGGATCCACATCAAAAGACAAAGTGTAAACTGTCCTCACTCTATATGCTTGTGAGTGTGTGTTCACGTGTACCTGCTGTCCAGTGACGCCCTCGTGGCTTCTTTGCTTAGTTTTTTCCCCTTTCCTCCAGATTTCCTTAAACCACTATCAGAAAACGCATTAAATAAAACACCACCACAATCCAAAATGAACTTACGATAAGAACGCAACAAATTAGATGCTCATTTACTTGCATTGTAAAATGCTAAAGGTGGGGAATTTTGCACCTACCCAAAATCTGGGAATCTTCTTTTGGCTTTTCCAGCCGCATCATTAGACTCTTCTGAAATAAAGAAAAGAATTATATCAGAACACAAGCACAGACAAACATCTGATGGCCAGGCTAACATGGATTGATAGCACTTCATTTTCAAGTGATTATGGCAGCATATATAAGCAATATCTCCGCTTCAGCCATAGTTTTGGTGCATTTGTGTGCATATCGTCCCATCCAAACTGTGATTGGCACAAATTGTGTCACATGTTTGTGCTTTATTTGACATTTCTTTAGTGAATTATGTCAGGAAACACAGTCGGGATGTGCAAACAAATGCCATCAGTGTTGTATCAGTAGACGCAATTAAAAAAGTTCAAAAGTGGTACTTGGTACGTGTGGTACTTTTTAGCAATTATCGTGCTTTAAAAAAAAAAACAGTAAATGTAAATATTTACATTGTTACAAAAAATACCATTATTTTCCCAAATTACTACTGATTATTAGCTTGTAGTTTGTTACACTTAGCAGGCATTACTAAAGATTTCAGATTTGTTATATAGACTCTAAATTATGATTGAATGAACCATGTCCAAATACCTGATAAACAACAACTATGCTAAACAATAAGTATTTTTAATCCTATTGCTGCTGCTGGGCGGAAATTACATGTCTATAGTAAAAAGCGCCATTCTACTGGGATCCTAAATCCAGCTTGTTACCTGCTTTGACCTCTTTGCCCTTGCCTTTAGACTCTCTCTTCTTTACATTCCGCAGGAAGCTGGAGGGGGAGGAGTCTTTAGGGGTGGAGAGGGCGGGGTCTTGAGGATCCCTCTGCACTGATTGGCTGCTGCCTGTAACAGAACCTTCGTCCTTCGGGTGGTTTGCAGGGGAAGATGTGACGACTGGCAGGGTCAAACTCTCCTGGATCGATCTCCTACGAGGCGGAGGAGACTCGGGACTCACAGACTGACTCTCATCATAACCCTGAGGTCAAAAACAAAGTTATTGTCGAAAACTGATGTTTTGGATTTTTTTTTTTTACAGCAGTCAATTGCTGATGAATTTCTTGAGCTCTGTGTGACCTGTGGGCTTCTCGCTGGCGAGCTGAGCGTCTCTTTGAGTTTACTGCGGGACGGCGGCTGCCGTTTGGATCTCTGGGCCAGCTGGGCCTTTGCGCGATGGGCGCTGGTGTCCAAACGCTCCGTCTCAGGGACCACCTCACTCCAGTCCGCTCCTGGAGAACAATTCATGGTTAACTTCAACTAAGGTTAGCTCTTCAATTGTATGAATTACTGCTCAGGGTCAAGTGCATTCGCTGTAGTCTCAACTGAAATGGTTTGAAAGTGACTTCAATGTGAACAATGGATAACAGACCATCCGGAGACTTAACTACCTGCTTTTAAATCATGCTTGAAAACGAACCTTTTCTCTCAGACCTACTCATAACTTGGCTATGTTAGCTTACTTCACGCCATGTTTTATTGGTTAATTTCATTCGCCATTATGGGTTTTCATTTAGTATTTGTTTTTTTTGTCTTATAGATTCAGATGTTAATTTTGAAACTATTGTGTTTGATTGATTGTTATTTTGTTATTGTCCACTGTGAAGCACCTTGGCCTGAATTAGTGTTATTTTAAGGTGCCATACAAATAAAACTGACCTTGACCAGTAACGCCCGTCTTCTTTGATTTGATTGGCCATCTCAGACCAACCTACAACTTTATTTATTTCTTCATTTTTGTTTACAACAAGAGTGGTACTTTGTACAGTTACAGAAAAGTTAATGTGCTGGGTTTAGTGTCTGCATAATACTGTTGTTGAAGAAACTGTCTGTGCAAAGCGCGCACTGTTATTAAAACAGGATGCATGCTTGACGCAGGCATATTTAATTATTGTCAGTATAATTATGCAAATATGAACACTAGCCCATTGTCTTATAACTTCAGTCTGGGCTCAGCATGATCTCACAATCACATGAATCCTTCTTGGATTTAGACAGCCATTAAAAAGCATTGAGATCGTTGACTTACCCAGCAGAATTGAATCTGCAGACTTACTGCCCGACAGTGGAGACTCATGACGACCAGATTCAAGCTTTGCCAGCTACACAGAGACAGATCGATCGGTAGGAATCAGAGAACGTGAAAGCTTTATGTGCGAGCTCAATTCAAATGAGGTGTGTTCATTCTCACCCTGCGCTGCAGATCCTCTATCTGAATTTTATATTTAGCCTCTCTCTCCTCCAGAGTTCTCCTTAAGTCCTCCTCCCTCTGCTCATACTCCACCTCTCTGCAACACACACACATCCAGCCAATCAGAATGTTTGTTTCTAATTTCTGCAATGTTACGATTAGATATGCAAATTATTCATTATCTCATTTAATATGCACACATTTTGCATACATTTCCAGAACAGAAATCTGAAGACTAGTCAGTTTCAAAATTCGGGTTTCATTTTGTTGACATGTTGGAGGTACATTTTTTTTTTTTACAGAGGAATATTTGGAGATCTCTTTTATCACTCCATAAATAAGAAAAATAACTGTTTTTATCACCATGTTTTAGGAATAAAATGTTATATAAATCTGCTAAATGATACATGAAAACACCCCTCTGTAAAAAAAACACTCAGAATATAGATAGGAATAAAACTGGAAAGTGCAATGTATGCAAGTGCTACTGAAGTGGCGATTTCTGGAGAAAAAAAAAATCATTTTAAGAAGACTGCAAGATATGAATAATTAAAATCTATAGATTAGATACATATATATATATATATATCAGCCATGGATCTACTCACCCACCATGGTTCCCGCATCGGAGCTCTGTCCGAAGAAGCCTATAGACCGGACCATCAGTAAGATGGTCACTATGAAGCCATAGAACCAACCAAACATAATAGGTCCAGTATAGGAGACTATAATGCAGGAAATGTCCCACCTAACCTCATATATATATATATATATATATATATATAAAAAACACATCCATGCAAATTATTAATGGAAAGCTTAGTGCTGACGTCACCACTCACTTCTGCTGATAGTCCTTCAGCAGTTTCTTGGCTTTGCTGTATTTTATATCCAGAGCTTCATATTGACTCTGCGTGTCATTGAGCTGTTCGTTGATGCTTTTGCAGAGAGCCTGAGCCTCCAGCCAGTTCTTTTCCATCTGAGTGATCCTCTCAGAGTTCTCCTGAACGCTCCTCTCTAACTGAGCTTCCCTCGCCTCCCACGCCGCACGCTCCTCTGATGACTCTCTCAACTACAGCATCAACAAAACCTTATCAGTTAAAACACACAGGGACTGCTGTATGATTGATATAAATGGATAAGAAGGCTCATAAGTTCTTACTCGCTCTTTCAGTTCATCTACTTCGGCTTCTGCAATAGTGTGTTTTATCTGGAGCTAAATTAAAACAGAATATACACAGAAATCATTAATGGCAATCTATTATAGGTAAGTGAAATGAAAGGCACAAAAGTGTGTTACCTCTTTAAATCTGAACGTCACTTGAGCGGCGTCCATGTTTGACGGCAGGAACATTTCCTCGCTCTCGGGCAGATCGTACACTTCCACATTCCTCCTGCCGAAACTCGAACCAAGGATGCCATCCTCTCCCCCTTCCTCCTCATCCTCGTAGTGCTCGTCCTGTCATAGAGACACAGACATGATGCAACGCACAAAACAAGAAACAGGCAGTCCAAAAATAGAGCCAAGTTGGGAAATAACTTATTATATATATTGAAAAAACCGTTGGTGAAACATTAACCTTTCAGAATTGTTCAGGATCCAGGCACCTAAAACAGGTATAAACTCCACTTCGGTTTTGAACAGACTCACAAATCCGTTTCCTCATTCAACATGGTGGATTTTTACATATTTTTGCATATGTGTGAACACTCAACAAAGCCGTTCTGGTGAAATTACAGCATGGCTAAAAAGTCTAAAGGTGTTTCTTTAACTCCAATTCCAGTCTAAACGTGTGGTCAAATGAGCAAAACTTTGACGAAATGGTAAAAAAGGTACATTGTCAACATGTACAGCAATGTATACTTTATGCATTGCTTTATGTATAGTAATGCATAAAGCACAGCTCGCACACGAGTCACTTTCAAACAAAGTCTATTTCGGTTGGTCAACGCAGCGATTTCACATGACTAACAAAACCTACATGGGGAACTTTTCTGCTCTTGTGCGAAACTTCCAGAACTGTATTACTATTGAAATGGATTCAAATGGATTTAATTTCTATTGAAATGGATTTTCATTAACTGGATTTCACAGAGTAACGGTAAATGTGAACGCACCTTAAAACGCTCTGACAACCAAAGATCCAAATAAACTAATAAAGGTACGTCTGGACCAATTTGGCAAGTTTTGGCTAGTTAGCATGGTCCAGCCCCTGCTGGTAGATGCTGAGCATGTGTTGGTAGGTTACCTTAAAAAAGTAATTAATTACTAGCTTCTAATTACATATTCAACGGTGTAATTAAATTACTGTATTAATAACTCTCTCTAAAAAGTATTGCATTATTTATTATTACTAAGTACTTTCTAAATTCCATATCAAACTCGACCAGTTGAACAATACAAAGATAGACATGACACTGCTCTTTTATTTCTTTTAACTAAATAATATAAAATTGCATAAATTATTCTTGAACTGACCAGGGTGATGGTTACATTAAAACGTGCATTTTTACATTAGATGTTAAATCCACTATTGTTTTAAAAAGAATTGCTCTGTAGTCTATACGTATTTAATGCATTTACATCAGATGTAACTGTAATTAAATTACAGAAAAATTAAGAGTAATCCTTTACTGTACTTTTACAAGGGAAAAGTAATTGAATTACAGTAATTAATTACTTGGTAATGCATCACACCCAACACTGGCTGTAACTACACCAATGCATGTTTCTTCATTGACACTGTGCATCATGAGGTAAAGCACTAACTGAGGAAGCAAGTAAATTGGTATCTATTTATGAATTTATAATAAATGCACTGAGACTTTCGGAACTACTTATTGAAATACACAGGAACAAACTAAATCATACTGATACGGAGTCAAACGTGTACAATGCGTAAGCAGTGGCGTAAGAAAAGAGCCCATGAGTTGTGTTTGACTGACCTCTTCAGTGGACTGCTCGTATGTGTCGTCCACCTGCTGCTGCTGCTGCCATTCCTGCTCGAGGGTCTCGCTGATCAGTCGGGCCACCTCACTCTGAGTACCTGGCTTCTCTCGGCCAATCAGAAATCTGCACATTGACAGGTGAGCAAGGCGGAAACAAGGATGATTACATCTGTAACGTATACTGATCTGCTGACATCAGGTAGAGAGGAAACAACAGAGCCTGTGTGAGTGTGTGCATTGTTTATTTGCATGCGGTGAACTCCTAGTCCAGCGCAGAGGTCTCCAAACCTGCTCCTGGAGAGCTACCTTCCAGCAGACTGCTGATTCTGCAGCCAGTGAGATTGTTTGCTCAACATTTAAATTATCAATTTCAGTGTTCGGTGCAAGCTGGTCCTAAAGCACAGAAACCCTCTACCTCCCCCAGCTCCACCTGTCTAGGATTTATGTATGCCTGTTCATTCAGCATATTTTATATGCTCACATCAGCATATCTGTGTATCTAGCAGTAGCAAGTCCATGTTTGCTCTGCGGCAGCGCGTGTAGCAGATCTGGCCTGATAAATACACAAAATACATAAACAGTCATATCCATTAACACGCTAAAACAATTCTGAGTTGTCATGATTGAACTACAACTATAAATATTTATTTAAAGGGGTCATATGATGCGATTTCAAGTTTTCCTTTCTCTTTGGAGTGTTACAAACTGTTCGTGAATAGATAAGTTCCCTGAAGTTGAAAAGACTAAAGTCTCAAAACCAAAGAGATATTCTTTATCAAAGTTAAGAGTCAGTCACGCCCTCCTAAAACGGCTCGTTCTAACACGCCCCCACATATCTACATCACCATGTGGGAAGATTTGCATAACGCCGCCCAAATGTTCACGCAAAGAAAGAAGGCGTAACTTTTATTCTCACTGTAGTTTTGTTGTTGCAGTCGCCGCCATGTTGTGGGGACGCCGTGTGTTTCGTTGTGAAAGCGAAACTACTTTGTTTGGTCTTCTAAAAGAGGACACGACTAGAAATCAGTGGTTAAGTTGTATATACAACACTGTTCCAGAACAGTTTAACCCATATATTCGTGTGTGTGCAATGCAGTTTCCTGGGAGAGTAGCCTACAATGCCGGTTTTCTGACAAATAATGCTGACTCTCAGACTATAAGTACGTTTTCATATTTAAAGAATTTGCCACTGAGTGACTGAATTTGAATTTGCCATTGAGTGCAGTGTAGAGTAGCGCTTGTTGTTTGCACAAATGCAGACAAGGTTTTATGTTTACGCGGCGCGATGCAACGCAAGTATAAGTCATTATAATCCATAATTATGTCCCCACTGGATGCAACAAATGCCTAGTTTATAATGGGTTTTCATGTTTTTGTCTCGTCGCTCCGGGACACAGCATCACAGTATGGTAAGGGGCGTAACATTTCCGTCACACGCTTGAGGTATTCGGCCAATCACAACGCACTGGATAGCTCGCCAATCACAGCACACCTCGCTTTTCAGACCGATGAGCTTTGTAACAATCGACGCGTTTCAGAAAGGCGGGGCATAGAGGAGAAACAATAATGTACAGTATGTGGAAAATAATGTGTTTTTTTAACCTTAAACCGCATAAACATTTCATTACACCAAATACACAAAATAATGTTCTTTTTTAGCAACGTCATATGATCCCTTTAACATTCTTTTATTTTAACAATTTATTTGAGAATAGTGAAGTCCACACCACATTTATTACGACAGAAACAATACTTTGGACTCAATTTTAGAATGATTTTTTTTTCAGCTGATAAACACTAAACGCTGGTTATATAATCGTTCATTTTGTTTGGACTGTTGAGGAATATGTTGTATATGTATATTTTCACTCCAGACTACACATTTGACTTAGATTCCATGATTATCTGTGGGGACTGATGTGTATACAGTAGATAGAAAGTAGATATTTTGAAGAATGTTGGTAAAAAAGCTATTGACTTCCAAATGCTATGGAAGTCAATGGCAACCAGCAACTGTTTGGTTACCTACATTCTTCAAAATATCTTCTTTTGTGTTCAACAGAAGAAAGAAACTCATAGAGATTTGGTGAGTAAATGATGACAGAACTTTCATTGTTGGGTGAACTCTTTAAAGAGTTTGAGCATTTACAATCCCAAAACTATATACTAAATAAAAACAATTTGTTTTTTGATTTCATAACTAGAAACTGTGTAGTTATATATTGCATGCGAGTTAGTAATTACACTGATTTAAAGTCGGCATGAAATGAAAAGTCACCCTATCTATTTTCCAAATGCATGGTATTGACCAGGTTTTGAGGTTGTCATTTTCAATCAAACTGCCAAGTCAATCTTCCAGTGAAATGACAGACTTCTCCATAGTGGGATATGCCCAACTTCTCCAGGCTTTCAGTCTGCTAAAACACTGTCCCTGCACGCTGACATTCAGATCTCAAAATCCACATCTCAAAATCCAATTAACAAACATTAGATATAAAGTCCCATCTTATGTCAAAATATGGACAAAATCTGCTGCTACTTCTGTTTCCGACTTCAAGTGTCATGCCTCACCACAAGCCTCTTTCGTCATGTAAAAACAACAGCTACTGTATGCTAGGTCACTTTACATGACAGTCAGATGGTCTAATCCTATCTATTTGTACAGTGTTTAAGGCCAGTTATGGTGGGGTGTTGACCATATTACATAAGCAAAAGTCTGACAACACAAGACTATTAGAAATTAAGACATCTGTGGTGATGGCATGCAGCACCTAATTACACACTAAACTAACTAGACTGAATGTAAGTATATTAGACACAGCAGGACCGACCTGACAGTTCCCTTCGTGTTCTTGAGGACGGTCGCAGCAAAGAGTTGCGTCACACCAACCAGACTGATGCTATCCACCTCCACAATCTGATCATTCACCTGGATCCTGGAACAGACAACGATGACCATGATGATATTACAGTGACAAAAGTAATACTGATTCAAATGTGACCCTGGACCACAAAACCAGTCTCAAGTGTCAATTTTTCAAAATTGAGATTTATACATCAGCTGAAAGCGGAATAAATAAGCTTTCCACTGATGTATGGTTTGTTAGGATCGGACAATATTTGAAAATCTGGAATCTGAGGGTGCAAAAAAATCTAAATATTGAGAAAATCGCCTTTAAAGTTGTCCAAATGAAGTTCTTAGCAATACATATTACTAATCCAAAATTAGGTTTTGATATATTTACAGTAGGAAATTTACAAAATATCTTCATGGAACATGATCTTTACTTAATATCCTAATGATTTTTGGTATAAAAGAAAAATCTATAATTTTGACCCATACAATGTATTTTTGGCTATTGCTACAAATATACCCCAGCGACTTATGACTGGTTTTGTGCTCCAGGGTCACATATGTCTCATAAAGCAACCATCAACGTATACTTAATTACAGACAGAACAGCCAATTGTTTTGGTGACAAACAACTATAACCAGTGCTGTGAGATGTTACTTTTAAAGCTCTGCCATCACAACAATGTCATATCTTGCAATACAGTATTTTTAACATTATTTTTGATTTAATAAAAAGCACCACAGTGAATATCTCTGCGGGTTGTAAGAAATTCTCTAGTGCCAGTCCAAATGTTTCATCTTTCGATTAATCTGAAGATCTCACCTCCCATCTCTCTCTGCAGCTCCGTCCTGCATGATAGTCTTGACGAAGATGCCCAGTTTCTCCAGACCCTGGTCTGCCCCAACACCCATCCCTATAATACTGATCCCCAGCCCTTTATCACCTACACAAAGAGAAAAGAGAGAGCAAGTCTTCATAGATTTCATTTTGCAATAACTGATGCAGACATACTCTAACATGTACAGTTCAAACAGATCATTTATTGGAATTAAACCAAAAACAGAATCAGAAAAATCGACAATGACTTTAAACATGAAGTTCAGCATCTTTGCAGGGATGTCCCTACTCATTTCAGATGCAAAGAGGCTAGCCAATTGGCTTGAGAGTGATTTTTTTGTTTGACCTGCGCTTCGTTCATCTCTACACTGCTGACAATGGACCTATTTTTGCCCATTAATGTGACCAAACCTTTAAAGCTACAGTAGTTTAATTCTAAGGTTGAGTGAGATGGAAAAGTCAGCATGCAAACTAAATTACGGATGTTACTCTTACATTATAAGTCAATTACAACAAATAAAACTCTACAGAGGTGCAGAATGAGGTGTTTAAAGGTATTCGATTCTAATTTAAATCAACCAATTTCACAAGTATGACTGATTTGTAATCACTCGATCTCAGAGAGAGCTGGAGTATTTTGTGAAAGACACACAGCCTCACCTTTCTCGATCTCCACGGGAAACACGTCCATCTTCTCCACCCGTTTCTCCAGCTCGTACTCGGCCGACGCCGCCACAGGATCCACATCATCGTTCCTCCGGTCGTACTCTTCATTAGAGAGCGTGCTGTACACCTGAAACCCCAGAGACACAACAGGCACAATAACTATTCGCTTACTTTCATCATCTTTCAGAGTGCTTATTATGGGTTTTATCAAGATGAGGCCCCTTCCTAGATCACTGGTCAGTATAACGCTGGACATCTCAATGAAGCCAAAACATCAAAGCTGTAATCAGCTTCTCTACAGTCGTGCCAAAGAAGGGCTTCTTTTCTGACACAATATCAGCAGCCCTTATTTATTACAGAGAAAATCACTTCACACACACACAAAACCATTTATTAGAGATTCCCCCATTCTTTAGTCAATGAAGTTTTACAAAAACGGCATACAATGAATTTATATGATGCTGCTGTGTGACTCTCTACAGAAACAGTCTAATGAAGAACAAGCAACAATCATAAAAGTAGGGATGCACGATATTATCGGACTGATATCGGAACTGGCCGATAATGGCTTTAATTGTAAATATCGGCATCGGCCCGATATGAAAAATGATGCCGATATGTCTTGCCATAAGAGGAATGCCTTAACTCACATGTGCTCAGGGTGTGCTAGCGATTAGATCACGTCAACAGTGTGGCTCATTCTTGAAGCAAAGTTTTGTCTGAATGATGATTAGATTGACTGTTTGAATAGCTGCATTTAAACTGAGAATGCACCTACAGAATGCGTTCTGTGTGAGATCGAGTAAACAGTAATAGCACGTGCAGAGTCCTAACGCCCGTTCAGTAAGGAGTTTTAATCTGTAGGGGGGACTGTTGGCCTACTTCTAATTAAATTAAAAGTAAAATAGCCTACACAAATAAGATTTAGACTGTGTTTCTGATTAAATAAAGCAGTAATTGATGTCATAAAATAGTGAGTAGGTTTTGATTTAAAGGTCAGAAGCTATAGCTTACATGAAAGAAAAATCTGAAGCATGACACTTGTAAATTAAATAATTTTATGTATACTGATTTATTCATTAATGCGTAATATGTTTTTTTTTTTTTTTTTAAACAAATCATAAGCTCTAAAAGATTTTCAGAATTTGTACAACTCTTTTGCTTTAAACCATCTACAAATGTTAAATCTTAAAATAAAATGTTAGGGTTAACACTGCATCTTTCTGGGGGGAAAATGCAGCGATTGATATATAGTTTATTTATAGCTATTTTCAAAGCTTCAATGTACTGTCAAAAAAACCTTCAT